CCACACACGCACACACACACGCACACACGCGCGCACGCACACTCGCACACACGCACACACACACACACGCACACACGCGTGTACGCACACACGCACACACGCACGCACGCACACACGCACACACGCACACGCACATAATTTATCGCAACCTGATAAATGGTACGGCGGCACATAAAATACGAACAAACATAAATTTTTATACATAAGATTAACAGCGCATAAACAATGGGTCTCTATCAAAGTAGCAAAAAATGATTTTGCCATAGTGAATACGTTTGCAGTTGGATTGCCAAGAAAGCACACGACTCGACGCAAATAGTAACTTCGCTCACAAGTCTAACTACACGTGAGATCAACTGTTAGTATATTTGGATGCTGTAACGCGAAAATAATACAACCCACGAAAATGTACTTTTAGATATCAACGTTTGTAATTTGGATCGGTTTTTAGTAATAATGCAAATTGTAATTTTACTTGCTATCGATTGCAAAAAAGTAACAGTCTATATAGGTTAAGGTATAAAACTGGGCACCGGTCATCTCCCATTTCTAAAAGGGTTTAAGTTCAATGACTGACTGACTGCCTCGTTGGTCTAGTGGTGCGACTGCTGATCATGAGGTCCTGGGTTCAAATCCTAGGTCGGGTCAAATACCAATTATTGAGTTTTTCTGTCAAGAAATTCTCGGTAGTCGCCCGGTGTCAGGAAGTTGGCGGTGTCTCACCCCCGTGCCTCGGAAAGCACGTAAAGCCCTTGGTCCTGCGCCTGATATCTCTCCCACACGTGTCGGTTTACCGTCCCATCGGATTACGAGAGTGAGGGTATAGAGAGTGCACCTGTGCTTGCGCTCCATGCACTATAATACTGTCCTACGCCGTTGGCTACCCTCCGTTGAGGCAGGCAGCCGTGGCCGAAATTCGGTCTGGAGGACATTACATTATTAGTTCAAAGAAATGACCGCAGCGCAGCCCGTTGACGGACTACATCGCCGAAATATTCTTTTTTTAATTTATTAGACATGCATGTTTCCTCACGATTTTTTCCTTCACCACCGAGCACGTAGTAAATACTCACTTAAAATGCCACTGACAATATCATTGGTGCCGGTCGGGATCGAACCTGAGTTGTTCGCGTAGGTACTGTGAAATTTACAATGAGCGCTAAGCGCCTGAGCCACCACGTGATTGATAGTGCAGCATGGCTCTACCACGTTTTACGTGGTAGAGCCATGCTGTAGCTATATTGTGGTTGCAGCACGAATAGGTCGGCTCGACCGGGGAAGGACCAGGCTCTCACAGAATACCAACGTAAAAAAATAGCAGCTTAACGCTCTCTTGAGGACCACGCTCTCACAGATCACCGGCGTAAAATAGCAGCTATATGATGCCGCTGTTTCGTATGGTGAGTGTAGAGAACCGGAGACCATTTTTTACCGGGAACGAGGCATTCCATATGTCTTCAGGGCTGGCAACGCATCTGCATTTTGATTTTTAATTGAAGATAAATGTAGATGTCTATGGGCCACAGCATCCACTTACCATCAGTTGGACTGTGTGCTCGTTTGTCACCCTTATCCTATAAAATTAAAAAAAACCACGACTGTGACTTGCTTGAAGTGTTTCCAATTAATCTATTATTTCGACCGGATTTGAAACCTTTTTCCGTAAAATCATTCATTTTTATTTTGATAGGTATATTAATCGTAGAGATCCGTTAAGATCCCAGTTGCCTTAGTTACGGCCGTAAAGCATTATACGGTTTACGATGCGACGTCTTTATCGGTCGTCATTTGCTGGTTGTTACTTCAGCATCGGAGAAAGTTTATTGAGTCTTATAAATAAATTTATCACCCACTTTGACTCTAAATTTATTTTCTTGTCATAAATAGATCTGACGAACGTGAAAGTGTTCCAATTATTTAGAAAGAAAGTACTGGCAGGAAATACTGCGAAAGACCTAAAATAATAGAAAAAGAGTTCTATTATTTTAGGTATATATTGCCCCTGCTAGCAATTATTACATTATATGCTCCTTATAATAGAGGAGGTTTCTATCATTACGTTGACTATAAAGAAGAAATGCAGACACAGATTTTGGCGAACATTACTTTATAAAAATCGCAAAGTCTCGCATCAACATATTGTAGGAGCTATTACTAGCAAATTATAATAGGAATATTTTCAACGACGGTTACCACGTTTTATACGTGGTAGAGACATGCAGTAGTTATATTACAGTGTAGTTATATTACTAGTGTCAGTTCTGTCATTTCTGGAGTGTTTTTAGTAGTGTAGTTTTTAGTGTAGTATATTACTATGTGTAGTTATATTACTAGTATAGTTGTAGCACGAATGGGCCGGCTCGACCGGGGAAAGACTACGCTCTCAAAGAATACCAGCGTCAAATATTAGCTTAATGCTGCTGCGTTTCGTATGGTGTGTAGAGAACCGGAGACCCTCTTTACTGGAAAAGAGGCATTCCATCTTAGTCCTCACGGGTGACAACGCATCTGCTGATAGATGTAGATGTCTATGGGCCACAGCAACCACTTACCATCAGGTGGACTGTGTGCTCGTTTGTCAACCTATCCTAAAAAAAGTGACGGTGTATGAATATCCACTACCCGTATCGTCCCGTGGGTATCGGAGCGACAGCAGCACATCAGGAGATGGGCAAGAACGTCTTCCTAATAACGGCTAAGAATAAACAAAACTGTGGTGGCCAACCCGCTTGCCAAACAGCAACTATGGCAAAATCCCACATACCTATGTTGAACAACTGTGGAGAAGGCCTATGTTGAACAGTGGAATTTAATAGGCTGTAACGGTATTAGTAACAGTATTTACAATTACTGGCAAAAGTAGTTACAAATCTAAGAACAATAATAAATAAAAAATAATTACAACTTTTAACAAAAAGTTAAAACCGACTTCAAATTGCTAAAAAGATGTTATTTGTTCGGGTAAAATTTTTCTACAAATTCATATGGAACCATCCTTAAAATGTAACCTATTTAATAAAAAAAGAATCTTCAAAATTGGATCACAATCTGAGAAGATTGTTACTGTTTTCATTTCGATAGATTTTAATTTATTTATTTATTAGTATTACATTCAAAATTTTTGTTTTTATTACAAGCAAAATATCAGTGCCATCAAGGCTTCAACTCCACTCACATGTTACACCCTATTTTTTTTCCAGACGATAAAAAAGGTCACCAGTATAAAAAAAAGATTATACTAGCGTAATATAGCCAGCCAGCTAGCTATTCTATAGAATGCCTTATGGAACGTGCGCGGATTTTACACGCCTTAACTCCTCTCTTCGTCCAGCAACTGCGTAGTTGCGGTGTAAGAATATACAAGACTGTAACAGAAGATGGGCAGATCTTCCAGATAACCACTCAAAATAATAACAAAACTGCGGTTGCCAATCCGCCTGCCAAGCTTGGCAACTAAAGCTAAATTCCCCCTATACTTCTAGCTATGGGGGAGGCCTATCTTCAGCAATAGATCCTCTCTCTACGTCGCATCTTCACTCCTTTGCTCTCGATTCAACACGGATTCGAACCAAACGGTTTCGCTTCGTCTTTCACAATACGTACAGCAAAGGAGTGAAATAATTTACCGGTGTCTGTCTTCCAGTCCGATTACAATCAGGGTGTCTTCAAGCGGAAAGAGTGAAATGGCTTTGTTACGCTTCCTTTGGTACGCGATACCAGGTTGCAGCTATATTATGGATGTAGCACGAATGAATCAGCTCGTCCGGGGTGGGACCACGCTCTCGCAGAATACCAGTGTAAAAGAGTAGCTCGACGCAGCTGTTTCTTATGGTGAATGTAGAAAACCGAAGACCCTTTTTTTACTGGAAACGAGGTATTCCATCTTAGTCCTCAAAAGCGACAACGCATCTGGATTTTGAATCTTAATCGAGGGTAAATGTAGATTTCTATAGGCATCAGCATTAGAGGATGCAGAACCGGCCCGTATCTAAGAACCGGGTTTTTCGGTTCCGGGTCCTTACAGGACCGGGTACCCGGTTCTTCTCGGTTCCTAATAGTAATAAACTCCTTAGGGCGAAATAAAACTACATTAAATTGGTGCTAATGACGATAGTGATGTGTATTTAATAAATTAAATGTGTTCCAATTCTAATTATTATAAAATCATCTGTATGTAAATGAAACAATAAAATACCAGCTTGTCTTCTGAGCTTCATACAAATAAAATTTAGAAAAACAATTCAAAGAATTAAAGAACGAAATAAAATCAAAGAAACAAAATCACGGGAATTTACTTTCTCAGTCACGTGATTCTCTGGTAATAATAAAAAAATAAACAATCTCTGTCTCTCTCTTACAAAATCAAACAAACAAAAATAATTAGATTTAGTCACAATCAACTACAACACTTCCTGTTTTTCTTATTATCGTAATAAGAGCGTAAAATTTAAAGAACGTTTATGCTTTTATCGTTTAATGAGGACCGAAGACGATTGCAGGTAAATTCTAACGATGAAAATATGCGTTCTGGCTCGACACTTGTGGGTGGAATCGTCTTTAAATTATCAAAAGCTGCTGTGAGATAGTGACCTCTTGATCCATCATTTTCAAAAAGAGCTGTTTCAAATTTAATGGTAACGTTCGTCCCTGTCATAATTTTCTCTAGTTCTCTGTTCAGTTGCTCTTCATTGGTCAAATCTTGTATTTCAATATTTTAGTGATGAACCGAAGAGTCAAATAAAAAAATTGCTTAAATCTTGAACAGAATCGAACAGGAATCGGGTATCATAATTTTGGACCCGGTTCTTTTAGCTAACAATTAACCGGGTACACCCGGTTTTTTTAGAACCGGGTAGAATCGAGTGCATGCTCTAATCAGCATCCACTTACCATCAGGTGGACTGTGTGCTCGTTTGTCATCGATATTCTATTAAAAAAAAGGTAATTCACATGTAATTTGAAAAGCCTTCACTTACAATAACTAGGTTTATAGGACTGACCTTAATGCGCTACCCTGTTCCCGTACATCGACTCCATTAATAGTATCCTCGCTCCTTGGCTGCAGTCCTGACATTTTCCACCACCGGAGCGCGAGACTTTGCCCTCCGTCAATCGGGAGCTCGATCACGTCATCGTTACACCAAACTGTCCAATCTCGACCTCCGAAACCTTACCGCTCATATCTGTAAAGACGATTGAGCAATTTAAATTCGGAATGCGGATTACTACTAAATCCAATATGGCGGCGAAAGGAAGTTGCATTTCGCGCGTGCCGTTACGTAACTGTTAAACAAATAATATAGTATGGGTGTTGGGGAAACTAAAATTTTTTGGGTTGGTAAATTTTTTTTTTTTTTTTTTTTTGAATACCTTTTATATCTCCCTTTCTCTGTTAAGCGTGACGTATCAAAAAGAGACTGCAGTTCTTTCTATTGTATATTATGGCAACATAGTAGTTGCATGTTTTTTATCGTGTGTAAATAATTTTATAGCTGTAATGTTTTTTTATATTTACGCGAATACTATACTTTCAATAAAACTTTTATTTACAATAAAAATTTAAATACCAAAGTTTGGAGTGCTTTACGTACAAAAGACATGGTCACGGAGAGACTAAGGTATTCAACGTCCCGCGGGGATAGCCAAGGTGACTTTCTATAATCGGTAACGTTAATTGAAAACTATAATAGCTTAAATTAAAAAAAAAATTAAACACCGCTGAAACAAAAAGACCTGTAAGATCTTCAAACGGTTGAACGGATTTTCTTGAAAATCATAGCTAAGAACACTCTCGATTAAGACACCTTTCGAAACACTTAAAACTAATTCATTCGTTCAGGAGCTATGATGACACAAACTGACACACAGATGCACATTACAAACTTATACCATCTCTCTATTTTCGTCGGGGGTAGACATGTGTCAATCATTCATTTCTCGTGACCGAATCATTTTAGTACATTTCGTCACTCGTACCGGTGCCTTCGGATCGATCATTCAAATGGATCATTTCGGGCTCCGGTACGCTACACTAAAAACAATTCATCCAGATCATTCGGGATTCGGTCGGTTTTCGACTCAATCACAATTCACACTAATTCACACCAATCACACAATTCACATTAATCAGTTTCCGTCAATTGGTGGTACCGGAACATTCAAAAACAGATGAATGAACCATCAATACTTTTAAATGTACCAGCTTAAACGAACTCAAAACGAATCATTCATGATTGACACATGTCTAGTCGGGGGCTAAAAATTTTAAATGAATGTGAATGATATATTTGAAAGATGTCACATGACTTCGATTCTTTCATTTTTATAGTTTAGGTACTATTAACGATGGTAAAAAATCGACTTGGCTAATAGCGCAAATGTAATTTTTAACCCAGGCTACTTTGGGCTTATTTTTAAATTAAAAAAAAAACGTTACTCTCACACTAAAACTTTCACTTTTACACCACTCTCACATTTAGAGTCCTTCCTCCTTTTTTACGATATAGCTATGCTGCAGCTATATTATAATTTTTTATACGTGGTAGAGCCATGCTGCAGTTATATTAGTAGTGTAGTTGTAGCACGAATGGGTCGGCTCGACCGGGGAAGGACCACGCTCTCACAGAATACCATCGTCAAATAGTAGCTTAATGCTGCTGTGTTTCGTATGGTGAGTGTAGAGAACCGGAGACCCTTTTTACTGGAAACGAGGCATTCCATCTTAGTCCTCACGGGTGACAACGCATCTGCATTTTGATTCTTAATCGAGGATAGATGTAGATGTCTAAGGGCCACAGCATTCTGTTACCAATGAGTGGACTGTGTGTTCGTTTGTCGCTCTTATTTTATAAAAAAAAACATTAAGGCGTTTTACATACGTAAATTAATGCATATTAACTTTTAGTAAGAACTGTCAATTACTAATAATAGTATAATTATTTATTAGTGTTCAGATTTAAATTTACAATACATTGAATCATTGCGATGGTATGTTGGGTTGCCGATAAAATTCGTGAAAAGAGATTCATTTTACTGCCGTAATAAGGTGGTGGATGTTCGGTGATGTACTCTTTCGTAACAGATGTATTGGCCTAAAAATATCTATGCTGCATTTTAAGGAGTTGGCAAAGTAAATGTTATTAAAACGTTAAAATAAACGTAAAAGGCGTATTTATATTATATATACTGTGACAAAAAGCGCATAAAAGTTGTAGACCGGCTTTGAGAAATTTGCTGGATCGACCATCCGCTTCTTATGCTCGACGGACACATGGCAACTGCACTTTGATGGTTTGTCTTGCTAGAATGTCGGAAAATGCGCTTTCTACACATTTCGAACTAGACACCGCACATCATCAGAAATTCCGAGAGCGTATGCACGTGTCATGTGCGTATGTTGGGGGCTAGTAAAACTGTCGAAAATGACCAAATTATTAATGATGGAAAAATATACATCATCATCATTTTATACATGATAGAGCCACGCTGCAGCTATATTATGGGTGTGACACGTATGGGTCGGCCCGACTGGGGAAGGACCACGCTCTCACAGAATACCAGCGTAAAATAGCAGCTTAATGCTGCTGTGTTTCGTGTGGTGTGTAGAGATCCGGACATTTTTTAACTGGAAACGAGGCATTCCATCTTAGTCCTCAGGGGTGACAACGCGTCTGCGTTTTGATTCTTAATCGAGGATGAATATAGATGTCTGTGGGCCACAGCATCCACTTACCATCAGGTGGACTGTGTGCTCGTTTGTCACCCTTATTCTATAAAAAAGCATTACAGACCCTCACAAGTCCACAGCTAAACAAAGACCTCTCCTCAATGCCATAAAGCAAGGTCTTGAACCACTTGGAAAAATATACATGGCTTTATGCAAATACCCCCCCACGACCTATGAGGCAATCCGCGGGTAGGCTTTGTTCAGTAGTGAACTTTAAGCCTGTAATGGATATATGCATGGATCTACGAAAACCATCATGAAGGTTTTTTATTTCTTACTAGCGATCTGCCCCGGCTTTGCACGGGTGATATTTGGATTCTACAAAGGCGCCACCTACCGGTTCCAACTACGACTATAACCTTCACGGAAGTGCAAAAAATAAGTTAAAAAAGTTTTATCGCAATCTGATGAACGCTATGGCAGTACATAAAATACGAACAAACATATATATTTTTTTACATTAGCTATTAGACCAGCGATTGGCCACAATCACACCTAGTACTACACCGGTAGTAAGCGGTGATAAAACCCTGGTCTTAGCGTAACAAAAGCCTATTCAGTCTCGCCTGGAAGATCACAATCTAGATTGTAATCGTGTGAAAACTTTACTTCCTTGCTGTATAAGTGGTAAAATAAAAAAAATATACGGTGAAAACCACATCAAATAGTTCTAAAGTAGGTATTAAGCCAATACGCAGACCGAAACGGATAGGCGACACCGTTATATTATAGTTTTGAGTTTCCTGGTTCTTTTATTAAAACATTTTTTCTCTTTCCCTTGTAGTCTTGGAAGCATTTTACATAGAAAAATTGCACAAAGATTAATATCAAGACCCGGGCCGATTATTTGTAAGCCGCTCAGAACACGTCTTTTCTGTGTTCTGATGTAGGCCATACAAACAATTCCAAAACAAAAACACAGCATCGCAACCAGATTAATTAGCCACTACGCCATCAGGTCTTCAGTCATATGTCATATGAAATCTTTTAGGAATTCAGTTTATGCTATACCTAGACTGGAAATAGATGTTTAAATAAACTTCCGAGTCTCCGTTACTCTCTACCGGATAGAATTTTAACCAGCTTTGAATTTCTGTACACTCTACGTAAAATACTTATCTCAAAACAAATACAAGCATACATTTCACGCTCGAAGAGCACTACTTGTACGTTCAAGCTCATTATAGTATAATCACGCGTCGTTTTTGCCCGGATATTACATAAATTGTACATAACACGCAACGTGGACGTACTAAAATGATTCATAATGTACGTTTATGTAACGATACTACTATTATTATTTCAAAAAAATAAGGGTGGCAAATGAGCACGTAGTCCACCATTAAAATAGATGACGTGGCCCATAGATATCTACATCTATCCTCCACTAATAATGTAGATGCGTTTGCACCTCTGAGGTTTAAGATGGACCACCTGGTTACTCGTTAAAAGGTCTCTGGTCCTCTATTTAGCATACGAAAAACAACAGTATTAAGCTGATATTATTTTACGCTAGTATTCCGTGAGAGCGTGGTCCTTCCCTGGTCGAATCGACCCATTCATGGATCATGCTACAGCCATAATATAGCTGAAGCGTGGCTCGTTAATGTAAAAATAAACATTAAACCGTAGTACCTATTTCAGTAAATAAGCGTTTCTTCACAATGTTGGTAAAATGATAAAAGGAAACAAAGTAGCCACTTCAGTGAGTTTCAATTCAACCCAATTATTCTATTAAAAATAGACAAAAAAAATGAAAATGTCACTTATACTATTTACATTAGGATCGATAATCCAACCGACAAAATCACCCAAAAACATCAGTTTCAACCACTGCACACGTATCGAAAATAAAACAATTACATCATTAAGCATCTCAATGTCGATGAAACAGATGGAGTCCAGCGTCCTTGTACCAAATCATCCCATTGAACTAGTTACAATAGCTTCAACCGTACCAGACGTTTTCGTTTAATATTCAATAATATGTTTGATTGATCAATTGATCATAATGAATGGTAGTGATTTTAGATTTCTTTGAGTTTGATATTGAAACGTTTCTTTTGTTGCGGCTAATGAAATTCAATCAAAGAGACATGGCAAAGGATTCTACGATCCATTATCAAAAACGTGGATGTTGAAAGCTTGCAAGAGAATACATCAACACAATCTACTTTTGTAATATTACTAGAGCCCTCCCCTTTTTTGCCTAGTCCTCCCCTCTCCCTTAAGGAATTCCACAAGGTACGGTCTTAAGCCACCTGCATCTATCGACTTCCTGCATGTCTTACCAGGTCATCACTCCCATTTAGTGCTGGGGGCCGCCCGAAACTTCGCCTACCGGTACG